AAGAATGGGATACTTGAAATCGAGATTATGGAAGGTTCCAGATATTGATAATGCCAAACTCTAGGATTGGACCGTGGCCATGAGTGTTGTAAGGTGAAGGACAAGATATGTGAAGGACGGGAAGTCAAGGAATTGAGAAGGCAGGGATTGAAGGGACTCTATATGCCAGAAGTTCTTAACCTAGATCCATGAATGGAATTCAGGGGGTTTGTGAACTAGAATGGGAAAAAATATTACATCTTTATCTTTACTAATTCTTAACTGAAATTTAATATTTCCTTTAATGATAAATACAGGTAACAAACCAATATAGTAATAGCAGTACCTATGACTTTGGCCCCCGTAGATACCACAGATAATTTCATATCATCTTACAGTTTTTGAGTGTTTATTTATTTTTAACATACCCAATTTGGATATTTCAGTGGTTTTTAAAATATTATTTTTATTCATCACTATTGTGAAATTATGGTAGTTATTAGAGCCGCTGAAGATTTCTTTAAGAGATGGGGTCTCATTCTGTCACCTGGGCTGGATGGAGTTTAGTGGCATGTTCATAGGTCACTGCAACCTCCAACTGCTGGGCCTAAGCAATCCTCCTGCCTCAGTTCCAGAGTAGCTGGGACTGTAGGTGCGCACTACCAAGCCCAGCTAATTTTAAAGTTTTTTTTGTAGAGATAGGTCTTGCTCTGTTGCCCAGGCTGGTCTCAAACCTCTGGGCTCAAGTGATCCTCCCACCTCGGCCTCCCAAAGTACTGGGATTACAGATATGAGCCACTGCACCTGGCCTTGAAGATCTTAAAGTATTACAAAAAGTCTTATTATATTTTAAAAATATTTTTATAACCGTATTTCACTATAATTGGTTTTACTTATAATGCTATATATTTTTTCTGCATTTAAAATATTTTGAGAAGCGGTCCATAGGTTTCACTCCTAGACTTCCAAAGGGATTGATATAAGAAGATGTTGAAATCAATGGAATCGTATGCAGAGAGTGACAGTGATCCAGAAGCTAATATCTTTAAGGAGTGAGGGGGAATAACTTGGAAGGAAAAAGAAAAAAATAGATTATATGGATATGGGGAGAAGATTGTGGCATGATTTTCAAAGCTGGTGTTTTGTTTTGTTTTTTTTTGGGAGAAAGAGAATTGTTTAGAAATGGCAGTGAGTTGCAAGAATGCTTACTCAACCTCTGGGTCCAATGGCAGGCATATAGTAGAGAAAGCAGCCACTGTTTCCAGAGAACTATAGGGAGGAGTGTCATTCAGGGAGATTCAGGTTTTTGTTAGAGCCAGATGAAGTGAATATTCGCAGCTGGAGCTGTAGGAGATTTTGTTGATGATTGACCTTGACTTTGAGAGGGCACAGTAGAAGTGTTTTAAATGGTGGGGAGAGGTAGGAGATGGTATCAGAAAACATGATGTACTTATGTAACCATATGGGGATTAGAATTTTGGAGATGAGGCTTGGGCTTTTAGGAATTGATATGGCAGGGAAAGAGGGTGCATGACAAGATTAGTCCTGAGGCAGATAGGGTAAAGGTGAATGAGGATGCTAAGGGAAGTAAGAGCAGGGCTCTTGCCAGGCATGCACAGATTTCTGGGACTCGCATTAAACTCAGATCTTCCATCATCTGATTTTTAGCCCCTTTCTCATCTCATAGTCATTTTCCCATTTCCTCCCTTCAGTGATTATAGCTCCTGGCTGTTTCTCAAATACTGTTAATACAAGCGCATTCCTACCTCATTGCCTTTGCATTTGCATTTGCTGTTCCCACTATCTGGTCTGCTCTTTCCCAAAATATTTATTTGGCTTGTTCAGTTTGTTCAGGTTTCTGTTTAAATATCACCTTATTAAAAAGGATGTTCCCAACCATTCAAAATAGTCGGTGTAATACCCTCACTTCTGATTACTCTCTGTCCTTTTCTGGTGCTTTTTGTTTTTTGTTTTTTTTTTCTTTTTTAATTGATCTTAACATTTATCACTTCCTGATTGATCATTTATCTAATTAATTAATTAATTATTTTCTAACTCCTCCCACCAGAATGTTAGCACCATGATAGAGCTGGAATTTTGGTTCACTATTGTATTCCTACCACCTACTATGATATTGCCATGTGATAGGTACTCAGAATATTTGGCAAAGTGAATAAATAAAGTCAGAAACAGCACTTAGAGGATAAGAGAATTATTGAATAATGGTTAAGAGTCCAGTCAATCAAATGAGTTTGTTATTTAACTTTGCTTCATCTCAGTTTTTCATCTACAAATTGGAGCTGATAGTGTACTTCCTTCAAAGAGCTATTAAGATTAAATGAGATAATGTGTGTAAACATTTTACAGAATACCTAACACTTAAAAATCTCTGGATTGCCCTTCCAGAGTCTTTCTATTGAAATTTAGAGATTTTATTTACTTACCAGGCTTTTGACTCCATTTTTCTCCAGCAACCCAAGTTTCTTGTCTGGTACTTTTCAACTTTCTTCTGTTCACAGACCAGCATGACTTTAGAGCCGTGGCCTTTCTGGGCAGTACCCTAGATTCTGCTTTCTACACTTCCCTCTTATCAAAACTTACACTTGTCCCCTTTCTGTAGGAACTGTGCTCAGTTTTCTAGTACATTGTTAATCTACCTGGTAAAGTAATTCATGCTCAGGTGTTAGATTCTGTTAATAGCATATTATGTTATTTCTGCTAGTGTTTGCATTTAATTTGGGGGCTATTATCCTTAAACTAAAGCAAACAATAGCGAAAATAATGTGAAGTGACTAACTGCTGCTTTTTTTTTTTTTTTTTTTTCTACTCAGCTCATTTCAAGTAGGTGACTGCCAACTTCTTCTGTTAATAGCATATTATGTTATTTCTGCTAGTGTTTGCATTTAATTTGGGGGCTATTATCCTTAAACTAAAGCAAACAATAGCGAAAATAATGTGAAGTGACTAACTGCTGCTTTTTTTTTTTTTTTTTGCATTCCTCAGCTCATTTCAAGTAGGTGACTGCCAACTTCATCTATAAATTAGAGCAGCTCTGATTATTCCTTATTGTTCCTTCCAAGCATGAGGTACTTAACATGAATTTCCCTAAACAGAATCATAGAGGTTTAGAATTCAAAGGGACTTTAGAGATTATCTAGACCAGAGATTTTCAACTTTTTTCTTTTTAAAGCAGCAAAACCCTTTTCTTAAATGAAATGTTATGTGGAAACTTAATATATAGATTAATAAAAGCACAGCTGATTCCTAAACCCAGAAATCCAAGCCATGTAGGTCTCCCTTTGTTGTCTGGGGCAATCCCCTGAGGGCACTTCCATGGAACCCTTAGGGCTCCCCAGAGTGCTGTTTTAAAAACCACTAATTTAGAACAACCCTTTCATTTTTCCAGCTGAGGAAATACGTCCAGAGAGTTTATGTTTTATCTGGTGTTACGGGATAAATTAGTTGGCTTAAGAGCAGTCCTCACGTGTGCTATACTTAGGAAAACACTGCTAGACAAGGGTGGAAGTTCTTATTTCTGATGTAGATAATTTTTACCATCTCATTTCTTTTCATCAGCAGACTTGTTTGTACCTATTACATACAAGACACTCTTTATGGCTATAACTGATACTAAGAAATATGACATAACCCTTTGCCTTAAGAAAGCAAATAGTCTAGTTGAGAAGATAAAACATGCAGTTGAAAAGTTATTCCAAATTTAAATAAGACCTCAACACTTTACATGTAACAAAACAGTATGGATTTATTTATTTATTTATTTATTTATTTATTAATAGACGGTCTTGCTCTGTCACTCAGGCTGGAGTGCAGTGGCCCCATTGTAGCTCACTGCAGCCTCGAACTCCTGGGTCCAGTGATCCTCCTGCCTCAGCCTCTTGAGCAGCTGGGACTTTAGGCATGTGTGCCACCATGCCCGGCTAATTTTTTAAAAAATTTTTTGTAGAGATGGGCTCTTGCTATGTTGCCTAGGCTGGTCCTAAACTTCTGGCCTCAAGCGATTCTCCTACCTCAGTCTCCCAAAGTGTGCGATTATAGGCATAAGCCAGAGTGCCTGGCCACAAAACAGTGTAACAGTGTAGAATGAATTGAAAATGCTGCAGTAGTAAGTACTATTGGAGCTCAGAGGAGGGTGAAACTACTCCATTTGACTTATAGGTTTTAAAGAGGAGGCATGATTGAGCTGAGTAAGACTTGGCTAAGTAAACAGGTATGAGACGATGTAATACTGTGAATAAGAGCAGAGCCTTGATTGAATTCTAGCACCTTCACTTACCTCTTAACCTCTGAGCCTGTTACTTCATCTGCAAAATGGGGATGTATAGAGCGTATTTTAATTGAGGACATAATGATTACTGTAACATAAACCTCAAAATGTCAGTGGTTTATCACAATAGAAGTTCATTTCTCCCTTATATCAATGTCTGTTCTGCATCAGACAGCTTTGTAAGAGGTCACTCAGAGACACAGGTTCGTTCTTTTTTGGCTTCTACCTCCCCTAGGTCTTTGGAGTTCTCTCCATTGAGTTCGCAGTGGAGAAAGAGAGTGGAAAATTCTACTGGGGAGGTATTCAGGAGCTCAACAGAAAGTGGTGTCTAACCTTCTGCCCATTTTTTATTGGCCAAAACTCAATCACAAAGCTATACCTAAACACAGAGGATGTAGTTAAGTTATGTGCACAATTTGGAAAGGAGATAAGTTTTAGTGTTCACATAAAGGCCTCTGCTACCTCACAGAGTTGTGGGAAAGATGGGAGGAAATCATGTACGTGACATGTTTAGTACAATACATGGCATGTAGTGGTATTTAAATGTCCTTTCTAAAGGGTAGGGAAATTTATGTAATATTTTACTAAGTACAGATAGTTCACTACATTTTTTATTAACATATGTTTTAACCTCCTCTTTGGAGAGGTGTCAATTTATTTTTGACTCTTGATAATAATGATGATTAATATTTAAAATGATTCTCCTTAGTAAGTTCTTTGTTTCTTTTTCTTTTAGCATGGTGTTATTGCTACAGAAGATGAAGAATATTTTATTGAACCTTTAAAGAATACTACAGAGGATTCCAAGCATTTTAGTTATGAAAAGGGACATCCTCATGTTATTTACAAAAAATCTGCCCTTCAACAACGGCACCTGTATGATCACTCTCATTGTGGGGTTTCAGGTAAGTGAGTGTGTAGCTTTTAGAAAGCATATTATATTGTATTGCTGCTTTTTTTTCCTTCTGACAAGTGTCGTAAGGTTGATAATAAAAGTAAATAGGAATTTGAGTAATTAGAATTACAATATCAGGAGTCTTTTTAAAAGACGTCACTTACCAATAATTTTATGCCCATTTGGAAGCTCTTTGAGAAATCATTATATATTAGTTTGAGTAAAATTTTATTTTATTTTTTTGATTGAAGGGAACAAAATAACCACCTTATTTTAGCCAGGTGAAAGTTACAGCTTTCATGCACAGGTATTCCATACTACTCTGTGCTATTTGGTTAGCCTGATACTTTCATGCTAGGAGTAGAAATGTAGACACTTGAGTAAGACTTGAGTCTTAAGGTAGTATTCAAAGATAATATTATCATTGAGTTAGCAGGATGCTATACAAATACAGAGTAGAGACAACAAACCTAGACTTCAGTAGTCAGGGAAAGCTTCAGGGATGAAGTGACTTCTAAGCTGAGGCCTGAGGGAAAAGTGAAGGTAGCTGGGCAAAAGTGGAGGGAGCAGTAGCTACAGCGTTCCAGATAGAGGAAACAGCATTTACAAAGCTCCTGAACCAAAAGAGAGAATGTCATTTTCCAGAAATTAACAGTTCATGTAACTGGATATTAGAATGTGGGTTGGAGAGATAGAGAGAGGTTCATAGTGGTTGGGGGAGTGATTGTGAGAGATAAAACTGGAAAGATAAGAAGTGGCCAAATTGTGAAGGGCTTGTAAAACACATTAAAGAGTCTGTTTATCCTAAATGCACTGGAAACCCATTGAAAGGTTTTAAGTAGACAGAATAACATAACCAGATTTGTGTTTTAGAAAGACTACTCTGGCAGCAGTATGGAGACTGAAATAGAGAAGAGCAAGATTGGAGGTAGGGAGTGAGGAGGATGTTAGTCTCGAGATGAGAAAATGTAGAGAAATAGTGGATATAGCATAGCATAGTGGAAAGAACATGGGCTTTGGTGTCTCTTTGGACAAGTTACCCAAACTCTCTGAATGCTCATCTCAGCATACCATATTTACTCAGTCAAACTGTAGCTGTCATTATTGTTAGGATGACTATTTCTAGGACAGTATTTAAAGAGATATTATATTTAAAAACTTTTTTAAAAAAGATTTGTTTTATTTAGTTCCAGTAGCTAGAACCAGGGACTAAATGTTTCAGAGGGAGATTTCAGCTTAATGCAAAGAAGAATTCTGCAACAAGTAGATTTAGTAAAAAATGGAATGAGTTGCCTTGTGAATTAGTGAATGAAATGCATCATCCTCCTGTTTCTTCTACATATCCTTCATGGGCTCATTTTCTTCTTTGTTCTTTGGAATTCTTTCCTCAACTGACTGTTATTCTGCATACTTTTCTTCTTGGGTAATCTCTCTCGGGCCTTTAATTACTCTTGTTGTTCAAGAATAGTTGATACTAGAAAAAGGCTACTTCAAGTGGATTTACTTAAAACACAAAATAAAATTCCATAGTAAATAATGAAAAAAACAAAAGGTTGATATTGAGTAATGAAACTAAACTTGTGGAAATAAGTTTATTTTATCTTATATTCAACAACAGTTGGGCTATATGTACAACTATATATAAAATATACATTCCTTAAAAACGAGGATTGAGATATTTAGTTGTTTATTATTTACTTTAGATCCTCATTGCCTCTCGACCAGATCACTGTACTGGCTTTCTAATTGGTCTTCCTGTCTCCAGGTTTGTCTCCCTGTTTTCAGTCAAATCTGTCTCCTTCACCAACTTCCCCTTGGTGGGAATATAGTAAAGTAGTTTTCTAAGTTCTGGGGAAATGTTACTAGACATTTGAAAAAAGCATTTTATGGTTTGTAAATTTGGGAAATATCTGGCTAAGAACTTAATTATAATATTATTTCAACAGCATAGGTCAAGTGAGAGGTGTGAATTTATAGGCATACATTTCCAGATAGCCTATTATTAAGACTTCAATCTTATGTCAAAATATAACATATGAAAACCCCTTTGAAACTGGGTATATTTATCTTATATTCAGGTATGAATTCTCCCATTCTAATTAGATTCAAACTATGATTTTTAAAAAATTTTATGGAAGTAATAAATACTCTTTTTAGAAAATTTAGAAAATACTGGAAAAAACAAAAGTGAAAATCACTCTTACTCTTACTCTAACACCCAGGGACAACTTAATATTCTTCTAGTCCATTATGGATATTATTATGTTTCTATACCTGTATTATGTACTTAAACATTTATTAAGTAAATATTCATTTAGTACCTATATGCAAAGCTGTTCTGGGTGCTGGGGATGCAGCCATAAATAAATCAGAAAAGGTTCCTGCTCTCATGGAGCTTGTATTCTAGTAAGAAAAGAGACAGTAACTAAATAAGCACACAACTAAATACATGGCCAACTGTCAATAGTAATAAGTGCTATGAATGAAAAATAAAGCAGATCAATGAAATAATTACAAATGGCTGTATATATTCAAACATTTTGATATTGATCAAAAAGTTAAAATCTTATTTCAGATGAGATCCGTATATTGATTTTTGGGAAAAAGTTACTATGTTTTATATATTTATGGAACAATGTTTTCTTTAACATCTTTTCTCTAATCAAAGTTACATTGATTGATCAAAGCATATTTAATAAGTACCATTTGAAGAACTACTAATCCTTATTTTGAAACTAAAGTCAATCTTGTATTCCATTTTAGAGCAAAAAATATATTAATTACAGGTCATTAAACAATCAGTTGACAATTATAGAATGCAGATATAGTTTTGTAATGAGCTAATCATTCTGGATTAATGTTAATGTTTAAAATGAAACTGAAGATGTTGTCTGTCTTGATTTTATTCATCGTATATAATATGAATATATAATTATATGTGATATATATATAATATAGTGCTTTTTATGGACATTCATAAATAAAAATATATAGTCCTTATATTCAAAGAATTTGTATTCTGATAGAATAAGCCAAGCAAACTAACAATTTTAAGAAAGCTAAAAGGTTGGAAATTAAGACGATGAAGATGATGATAACAATAGTTACCTTATACTGAATGCTTACCAAATGAGAAACCATTGCTAAGTATTTATTGCCCAATCATATCTAATATTTTTCATAATACTTTCAATAAAAATAAGGAGAAATTGAATGGATCAGAGAAGTGGAAATGATCGAAAGAATGAAAATTAAATCCTGTATCTTAGACATTTAAGCTTTCCTTCTAGAGAAAGAGAAGACTAGGCATAACTTGAATACGTGAATGGTTTTATGATTACACAGGACTTAGCAGGACAAACTGGAGTTATATTGATGCAGAAAAGGTTTGGCTGTTTCATAATAATATTACCACAAACATAATGCCTTAAGTAATACATTTTATTATTTCACAGTTTCTGTGGATCAGGAGTCTGTGCATGGATGGGTCATCTGCTTAACCTCAGCCAGGGCTGGATTTTCATCTGGAATCCACTTCCCCACTCTGATAGTTGTTGGCAGCCTTCATTCAGTTCTTTGTAGTTGTAGTTAGCTTTAGTTTTTAGATTCTTATCTGCCAGAGGCCACCTACAGTTCCTAGCTTATATGGGGTTCACCAACATGGTTACTTTCTTTCTCTAAGTTAGACAAGTGCTACAGTATTATGTAACATAATCATGTACTCATATACTCAAAATCACATGCATCTCCTCATCTTTGGTGTATTCTATTGGTTAGAACCAAGGATAGGGGTCACCAACCTGGTTACTTTCTTTCTCCAGGCCAGCAAGAGAGAGACTCTAATAAGACAAGTGCTACAATATTATGTAACATAATCATGTACTCATATACTCAAAGTCACATGCATCTCATCATCTTTGATATATTTTATTAGTTAGAAGCAAATCACAGGTCCTACCTGTACTCAAAAAGAGGGTATCACAAAAGATTGTGACTGTCAGGAGACAGAGGTCATGGGGGCTACCTTAAGAGTCTGTCTGCCACAATTGGACATAAAGAAACACTTACTGGCTGCCTTGGGAATATACTGTTGAAATAAAAAGTGTTATGTCTCTGCTTCTCTTTACCTTAAGGAATAAAGATGCTTATTGAACTTATGTGAGTTTCAAAAATATTTAACTAATACTTGTCATGATCATTTCCACATCTTATTTCTTAAAATTTATCCATCCTACTGTCTTGATTCATTTTCTGCTGCTATTACAGAATACCTGAAACTGGGTAATTTAAAAACAATGCAGGTTTATTTGGTTCTCAATTCTGAAGGCTGAGAAGTCCAAGAGCATGGCACTGGCATCTGGTGAGGGTCATCCCATAGTGGAAAGCAAGACTGGGAAGCTAGTGCACATGACAGAGAGAGGAAATCAGACTGAACTCATCATTTTTATCAGGAACCTACTCCCAAGATAACTAACCCAGTCCCATAATAACAGCATTAGTTCCTTCATGAGAATGGAGCCCTCACGTCCTAAACACCTTTTAAAGGCCCCACCTCTTAATACTGTTACAATGGCCATGAAGTTTCAGCATGTGTCTTAGTGGGGACGTTTAAACCATAGCACCTCCCAATGCAGTTTTTAAAAGAGAAAAGCTAAAGAAGTTAGGAAAATGAGAATAGTGCCTCTTTCTGTCAAGTATATGTGTATATTAATCCAATTTTTCCCACTAAATTTCTCAATAAGTACAGATAAGAAAGATCTTTTTGTTCAGTGTAAGAATATGGAAGTGAGGTATGCAGAGGACCTCTACCTGCTCAAGTTTATGTAGATGAATGAAGATGAATATAAATGAGGCGAGTGTTTACAAATGCCATAGTACTATTAAAGGATTTTTCGTACTGAAGCACCAAATGTCTCAAAACAAAGTATGCACTGCAGTCTACACTAAATGTGGCTGAAAGCAAATTGTGCTGAAACTATGATCTTTTCAACTCTCATTTGAATGCTCCTTACCTCTAGACTTTGGAAAAGGAATATATTGAATACTCTGTCAGTATAAATATTTGTAGACTGCAAAACTAAGTCAAAAAAGTCATTCATTGCCTTTTAGAATTGAGATTTCTCAAGCAATAGCATTGGTTCCAATTAAGATAGCTTAATAGGCCGGGCGCGGTGGCTCACGCCTGTGATCCTAGCTCTCTGGGAGGCCGAGGCGGGTGGATTGTTTGAGCTCAGGAGTTCGAAACCAGCCTGAGCAAGAGCGAGACCCCGTCTCTACTAAAAATACAAAGAAATTAATTGGACAACTAAAAATATATAGAAAAAATTAGCCGGGCATGGTGGCACATGCCTGTAGTCCCAGCTACTCGGGAGGCTGAGGCAGGAGGATCGCTTGAGCCCAGGAGTTTGAGGTTGCTGTGAGCTAGGCTGACGCCACGGCACTCACTCTAGCCCGGGCAACAGAGTGAGACTCTGTCTCAAAAAAAAAAAAAAAAAAAAAAAAAGATAGCTTAATAAAAGCATCTTACCTTAAAATAAATGCTCCAAAGCATCTTTGGAACAGATTTTTGCAACATCAGTGTTCTCCATGAGAGCTATCTTAGGGTGTTTCAAAAGTTTGTGCCCTAGTTCCTTTTTAAACAATTTTAAATGATTCTCTAAAATATATATTCTAAATTTAAATGTATTGTGATATAATTACTCACTGGAATAATATGAAATGCTTATTTGAAAATTTTATTCTTTTTTTTTTTTTTTTAGAGGCAGGATCTTGCTCTCTTACCCAAGCTGGAGTGCATTGGCACAATCATAGCTCACCGTAACCTCGAATTCCTGAGCTCAAGCAACATTCTTACCTCCAGTGCACACCACCATGCCTGGTTAATTTTTTATTTCTTGTGGAGACAGGTTCTCGCTGTTGCCCAGGCTAGTCTCAGACTTCTGGCCTCAAACTCCTGGCCTTAAGTAATCCTCCCACCTCAGTCTCCCGAAGTGCTGGGATTAAGGATGAGCCACCATGTCTGGCCCTGAAAATTCTTTTTCATTAAGTAATAATCTTAGATTTATTTTTTTTCATGAGCAGTTGAATGTCGTTAGTGGTTAATTTTTTTCAGATAACATGATTGTTTTGAAAATTTAAAAAAGAGTTTTCCTCATTACTGTGTTTTTTCATCCCTTTCCTTTACTTTGAAAAATCTTAATACATTAGAGAATTTGAGACATATATTTACATGAAATATCTAAAATAAATGTTCAATTAGTGAACTTATATGAATTGGTTAATTGTTTTTATCGTAGACCTCACAAGAAGTGGCAAACCTTGGTGGCTGAATGACACATCTACTTTTCCTTCTTCACTAACAATTAATGAAACACATATCCACCACAGACAGAAGAGATCAGTGAGCATTGAACGGTTTGTGGAGACATTGGTTGTGGCAGACAAAATGATGGTGGGCTACCATGGCCGCAAAGACATTGAACATTACATTTTGAGTGTAATGAATATTGTAAGTTTGATCCCTCTACATATTATACTGAGTAGTTTGTTGTGTTTTTGACAAAGGTCATAAATTTTTACTGTGAAATAATAAAAATTCACCTATCTAAAATGATTAAAAAATTGGTCTATTAATGTTTCAGTTCCATAGAATATTAATTTAAAGGTGACCATATTGTTTATTTTCAAATAATATAACTTTTTAATGGATTGTTAAATCTTGTTTAACAAGTTTTCTTTAACTTGAAGTATCAGCTCACCGTCTAATTTCTATGTTGTAGTTCATGTCTAGGAGAAAATATTTCTTGAGGTAGATTTGTATAAAAACTTTTTACCAAGGCACATTGAGGGTAGAGTGCTAAGTGATGTGGGGTAAAAGAATACCTTTTAATGTACACAATGGTTAAATTCATAAAAAATTATTTCACCACTTTTTAAAAAATATCAAACTATCACCCTATGATTTTTGTCTGACTTTGTGTCTTTTCTTATTTTCTGGAGGTCAGGTTGCCAAACTTTACCGTGATTCCAGCCTAGGAAACGTTGTGAATATCATAGTGGCCCGCTTAATTGTTCTCACAGAAGATCAGGTAAGAACGAGTTAGTTTATAAAACTAAATTCTTAATAGGCTATAGAGATATTTATTACTAAAAATATGTTTTATTATTGCTCCTCTTAGAAAGTTCTTGTTGAATATAATTTTTAGCTCTAGACATTTAATATTCTGAGCAAATTTTAAATACTTTACAAGAATATGCTTCTTTTGTCATGTTAAAGCTACGTATATGTACATTAGCTACATGTTTTGGTATAAGGATGGGCATTTGCATGGCATACCTTATAATAATGGTTTTCATTGGTTTTATATGCTAATAATCTCACATATGTTCACATTATCATTAAAGCTGGAACTGGAAATAATGTCTGTTCAATAATACACTAAATGAACTTTAGGTCAGATATTACAGAGATAAAAATTGGCAAGAGATTATTCCTAGAAACCACTGCTTCTAATTATAGTCCCACTTTAGTCTTCAAAAATTTTAACAACTGACCTTAGTAATTTGTTTGGAACATTTCTGGTATGCATGTTGTATTGCAGCCAAACTTGGAGATAAACCACCATGCAGACAAGTCCCTCGATAGCTTCTGTAAATGGCAGAAATCCATTCTCTCCCACCAAAGTGATGGAAACACCATTCCAGAAAATGGGATTGCCCACCACGATAATGCAGTTCTTATAACTAGGTATGGTTTGTTGCGAGTATATTTCCTTTAATTGTTGTGTTTGTTCAGTATTGCAACTATATTTGATTCTGTCTAAAGCCTCATTTAGGTAATGAGAATAGAAAAAGCAAAATGGTAATTTATTTTTCACTACTGAGAAAGCATGTATTACACTATTATTGTGTTTGCATCAAATGAACAAAATAAGAAAAGCAAGATTAAAGAGTATGAGAAAAAACAGATTTTAAAAATTAACTCATCCCTCTTGGTTGTAGAATATATTAACTATTCTTACCTCCAAGTTCTGTTAAAGTTTATTAAGTAAGACCCTGCCTCAAAAAAAAAAAAAAAAAAAGCGGGATGGGGAGGAGATTGGCAGTTAAATAATTTATTTGAATGTTTATTTAATTTAAAATATTTTAATTAAGATATATGAATATAAAGAAGCATATTGATTACACTATGTGTTGAACAGATTGTCTCTCAAGCAAAATTATTACTCACTGGTAACCCAATGAATTCATATATTGCTTTCCAGTTTTACAAAACTATATTCAGATCCATTTTATTCTTTACTCTCTAGCAACAACTCTGAGAAGTAGATAGCATTATTATTTTATGCATGCGAGAAATAAGGAAACTGGTTTAAAATAGTTAAGTAAATTTCTCAGGATCACTCAGCTAATGAGTGAAAGAGTATGGCTCAAACCCTGGTGGTCCTGTCTTCTTTGATTTTACTGTTACATCTGTTTTAGTTTTTAATACTCTAATTATGATTGGTTAGAAACGTTATGCTAAGATAAGTGAATCTTTTGACCTGTTATCAGTATTTTAAAATAAAAAACAAAACAAAGTAACAATAACAAACAGGACGCAAAATGGAAGCATTATTTTCTCTTGGCTAAGTGGAATAAAATAATAGCCTCTGTTATCTTGATTATTTCTGTTAATTTGCAAGTCAGTATTTAACTATACTTATCTGGGTATGCCCATTGACTCTACATTAAGCTCTATGGAGGAAGTATAAAATATATAGAATCAGAATCTTGAGACCTGTAAGATAAGGTAAATCGAGCTTTTAGAAAAATTTCCCTGTTAACTGAATCATAGAGTTAAAGTTTCTGAGTTTATTTTTTTTTTACAGTTATACTTACTTTAATTGACTTTGTCTGCCTGGCATCATAAACCAGAAAATTTGGTTTATGACATACTTGCTGAATAAAAACATCGTTTGGTTTTATATTCATATATGTTGACACGTCAGTCTGATAAATTCCGCAATTCCTCAGAATCTTGTTGTCTGGAATGTTCCCAAATATAGTTAAGGAATTAAAAATATACTAGAAATTGTGCAAATGTAGAAACTTTTGTGTAAAAATATATAGATATGATTAGTGTCAATGAAATTACTGGAGGAAAATGTCTGTTATGTATGGTTAACAAAATGATCCCAGATATTTACATTGCTTCTGTATTTATATTTGTAAAGCCCTTCCTCTCTCCTAAAATTGCTGCATAAAATGACAAGACATTACATCAGGCACATACATAAGTATTCAAGTAGTTTAGCCCCCTTTTCTTTGTACTGGCTACATTTACTGTAGCTGTCTAACATTTTACTCTAACATTTTACGCTGAATTCACCCAGATATTATTCTGATTCTCTGTAACTCTCTTCTCTGCTTCTGTAAGCTACTTTGAGTGCCTTTTTGCTGTTTTGGATTTAAACATAATTTTTTAAAAATTTATCCCTTAATGGTCATACTAGTACATTTAAAAATGACCTCAGGACTTAGTAGGACAGTAGTTCAAAGAGTTCATATATCATATCATATTAGATTGGCTAATGTAATAGAGGTCAGAAAAATGCTTTTTTGGGGCAGTATAGAATCCTTTTTTGAATGTTAAAGTCTCAAAGTAAATTCTAGCCTATTTAAAAGTCTACAGTTACCTTTGAATTACTAGGGCCCCAGACTGACTTATCAAAATGAAATGACTATCATCTCTAATATTTAGATATGGTTTTTCTTCAGGGAGGTTTGGGGAGTTACCAGTGCTTAGTTCTTATATATGTATAATTTTTTCCATCCATCTGACTCTGCTTGATATCCCTTATATATTTTGGATTTGTGAAACAATATATATTTGAATCATACTGCTAATTTTAGTAAAAAATTTCTGAGAATTCCACAGATGATTTTGTATTATTGTGCAGAATTGCTTCATATAACTCACTTATTAACATGTTTGGGGTTGTGACCCCACAATTAATGGGTAAGAACATGATTTATGTTGGCTCAAAATGTCAGTTCACTAGGGAGAATGTATGATATGTTTATGAAGAATTCTAGGGGAAAACTGATGGCTATGTATCTCTCCACTAGGCCAAATTTTGTCCCAGGAATTTAAATGTTTTAAGCAGTTAAAACTATTTGGAATTGTAGTCATTTAGGGAACAATGTTACTTTTAAAAGCTCAAAATGTTATCTCCCTTTAGCAAATAATATCTTACTGTTTTATTTTGTTGATTGAAAGCATACTGTGCTTTTCAAAGCTATCAGATCACTCTAACTAGACAGAAAGAAAGAAATTTTTAATGTTATTGTTTTATTCAGTATCAATAACATTGAATTAACACCAAAGAACATATTAAAATAATTTATATATATTTTATTTTTATATGAATGTATGTGTATTTCATATGTAATTATATGCATATGTGTGTACACATAGTAAATAATATATAATATAGTGCTTTTTATGGACATTCATAAATAAAAATATATAGTCCTTATATTCAAAGAATTTGTATTCTGATAGAATAAGCCAAGCAA